TGTTATGTTGAATCTAACATTATTGTGTTTCATTACAGTGAAGTTACATTATTTACTTTGCAGCTCAGAAAACACAATGTGTGTGTGCACGTGTGGGCTTTGACAAGTTAAAAGGACGATGACCAGATCAAGTTAACTCCATATCTGGGTCTACAGAATTGAATTCACTGCAAATGTGTTAAAAACGGATAATGCAAAGATTATTGGTGAAGGTTCAATAACAGGAGTCATGTCCACTTTGAGAGGAGCAAACTCCATCATGACCCAGAGGTGTTTTTTTTATAATTCTAATATAGTGTCAGTCATTTTCTTCATGTCAAGCAAATCAATATGACTAAAATATGGAAAAGAACATTTTTCTCTTGTGGTAGAATCTGATTTGTTCATTAATGAACTTACATTGACTGAAGACACAAATGTATGAGCAGCCAACGTATGTAATTTGACAAAGTTGTGAAATCCCTTAAAATGTAGCATGGATGTCAAAACAAATCTTAAAAAGCAATATTAGACATAAAGCAAACAATTAACACATCATTATTTGACTGGATATAACCTCCAAAAATGTTTTTTATCAAATTTCTGTGATATTACCTCAGCTTTTCAAACTTGAGCACAAAAAAACCCCGTCAGAGGTCATGTTTTGAACAGACGCACAAATCTACAAATATCTCTCACATCAAATTAAGCCTCTCCTCAGCAGAAAAGCAGGCTTGTAAACAGATTATTGAACTGACGTCAGTTTCCCTGAGCTGGAGGTCATTTGACCAGATGCAGGACAAAGAGAAAATTCCAGCTCCCTTCACCAATGGATGTGCCGCTGTCAGCAAGGCTATCAACTCTGCTTTGTTATATAAGCAACAGGTGTGATATCAAACATGCACGTGTACTTCAGATTTATTGTTATCATACATTTTTATTTATGGATGATCATAGAGGCATGACGAGGTATGAGGAAGTGAAATCTTCAAGAGAATAAATCAGACAATTAGACCTGTCAGAGTTTTTTTGTTTGTTTTATTGCTCAGCAGTAAAAAGTACAGTGTATACTACAGTACAAAAAATACATAATGTTGAACACTGCTTCACCGAACGTTTTGTAAAATATCCACTTTTTGAGCGTGCAAAACAACAAGCCCACCTGTGAGCATCCGATGCAGGAAATATCAATATGTTTAACTGTGTCATTCACCATCACCGCTTGAATCGGTGACTTCTGAACAACATCGCACAATGCAGAAAATCTTTAGCGACAATAGAGGCAGGCAGCGTCGATTATTGAATAAAACTGCAGCAATGCAAAGTAAAAGAGATGATAGAAGGGCCACAGGGTCAATAATTCAACAAAAGAACGATTCAAACGCCTCTGTATGTGCTCACAGTAAATACTCAGCATACTGTACATTTTTTGTCTCAGTGTTTTCAATGGTCAGGATCTTTGACAGACTCTAACACACGTCGTGTTGTCCAGAGGAATCATTCACAATCATTCGACATTTCAACAAACACGATTTACATTAATGGACTAACACAGTATCTGGGGAAACACTTACAGTAGCAAGGGATGGTCTAATTGTTTCCATACAGCGCTGAGAAATGATTTCTCACGTTGGGCTATAACCAGTAGCGACTCCACAAAACAGCGAAGAGGATGAACAGACAGAAAGACACACACACACACACACACAGAGAAACAGATGTGATACAAAGTCTTGTTTGACTTAAAGTAACAGTGATATTTGGTTAAGTGGGGGCAGCTCGCTTCAACTGATCCGTCCACTCTCGCACATTCTACTCCACGCTCACAGTTTGCTTACATGCACGAACAAGGCATTCACACACACACACTGATATATAAAGGGCCAACGTAAAGAGTTAAGACATCTATGTGGTCCCTCTTAAGAGAAGCTGGTGACACACAAGGGGGAAAGCCACTTTAAGTCAGTTCCACTCGACCGACCGACTCACCATCGTTCAGAACAGCCAGATGTAAAGACCGTAAATCATCCAAATATACCGTTAAACCTGGGCTGATATTTATCAAACTGTACTTTATATTTATACAACTGCTTTGAAACTTAAGAATAAAATGTGCTCGTCTACTTTTTTACGAGTTTAACAGAGAAAGAAGTGAGCACATGCCCTAAAGTGATTTTGCAGAATATTATTGTCATTATATGAATAACATGATTAGCTGTATTATCCATAATCAGGTTTGTTTAGGCTGCTATTTAGATTGAACAAGATCTTACACTGTTTTCTTTTTGTTTTGTATTTTTACCTTTGTCAGGCTGTAAAACAACAAATCTGGCTCTGATTTTGATTCCAATCACTTCCCATGCATCTTCATTGTCTGAATGGTACTAAATTATTCTTATTACACTGTGTAGCCTCTAATGTACAGTAATTTACAGTAATCATTTTGTTTACATCCTATTTCCTCTGATTTATTCCTTATTCAAAATGTAAAAATCCTCTATTTGTTACTGTTTTTAATGTCAGATTTATGTTTAGCTCAATTCTTTCATGCTACATATCAAATGTATTGTTATTATTCACAAATGTGTTGTTTATTATAGAAGTATAAGGTCTTTGTGTCATTTAACTGAGGGAAACGGAGTTCACACAATGAAAATGAACTAAAAATGACATATTCAGATTAATATGAAAAATAAGTTTTCCTGAAAAATGATCAATGGGACACAATCCTGTTCCTGATTGCCGATGAGCAGATTCATCACGTGATCACTTGAGAATCAGATATCACTCTTTCTTTCAATTCTTCAACTTGACTTTCTTAGTTTAATAGTTTGATAAATACAGACCCTGATTTCACTCACAGCATTTTGCGACAAATCTCTGCCCCCTCCCCCGAGTTAATATTGTAGGTGCTATATTCAAGTTCAACAGGCTATAAGTATTTTGGGATTGATTTGAAAGGAAAAAGTAAAATTACAGCTTTAATGTTTTCATAGCACGTCTCTCTCTCTCTCTCTCTCAAGCAGGTTTATGTGGCAATATTCACAGTGCACTCGCCATCAAGCCACTGTCATGAAACAAAACCACATATACTCTGTATTTTATAAAGACAATAAAAACCTTTTTTTTAAATCACAATTAAGCCTTTTTGTAGAAAATGTACATCAGAAAAATATGCAGGTGCATCCTCATAGTAAATAGTGTCTGTTTACATCCTTCCAGGTTGCTCTTTGTTTTTATAATATACAGTATAAAGTCAAAAGTCTCTGAATATTTACCACATATATAAAATAGACAACGACAGCAGGGGGAGTAGAGGAGGAGACTCAGTCAACGTCTTCTCATTTTCTGTCTCTAGATGGCAGAAGCTTTGTCTCTGTTGATGAAGAGGGTCTCCTGGCAGAAAGGGTTAACCAGGACCACGCTGCTGCCGCTGTAGTCTCCATTAGGGGGTAGACAGGTGTCATGGTCCTGCAAATGCACAAATAACGTTAACACAGGTGTCTGGCTGTTAAACGAAAGCTGTGAGACATGATTCAGGTTACTGGGTTCACCTTCAGGGCACAAACTGCAGTCTACTGTATGTAAGTCACTCTACAGGCAGACAGCTGAGCGTGGAGGCAAACAGAATAAGATATGGGTTTGTGCACCCTGGGGGCTTTTAAGGAGATGGTGAACAAAGATATCTGACAACGCTAGATGAGCAGGGACACAAGCGGAGGTGGAGGGGAGGATGTAACAGCTTAATGGGAGGAGAGACAAAAGGGAGGGATGACTCAGAGGAAACAAGGCAACACAGCGGTCCAATGCCTAGAAGGGTGGAGGGTGATGATGAGGTAGAATTGGTGGTTGGTGGTGAGTCAGCAGTAATGAGGCAGTGCCGGAGGAGGGAGGTGTGAAAAACAAAATGATTTGTTTTACAGCGGCAATGAGGCCATTTTTATCAGCAGGATCCAATCAAATCAAATTAACTCTGTCATTTAGGTTTACGATCATTTCTACCAGAGCTCTCTCACTGACCTACAGCACCAGGGAGGCTATAACACGTGCGGCTGCTGCTCTACAGAGATAAAGGTAAAAGGCAGGGGAGAGAAAATAAAACCTGGGTGTCACCAGGGGCATCCTACACATGATCCAACCTCAGCTTCCCTCTCCTGCCGCCCCCACAGACGGCAAATCGTGCAACGGTCGAGGAATAAAAGAGATGAGACACACACACACACACACACACACACACACACAGTGAAACGGTCAGTGGAGAGAAGATGATAAAAACATGCCAAATGAACGAAGCAGTGATGAACAAATCACAATGATACGAGAAGAACGAGGAGCGAGATTGCAGATTTAATACTAACTAAAAACCCATATGCCTGTTGTACATTACAGTATCCAACAGATGGTGCTATAATGCTCCAAACAACAAGCTGCTCCCCAGTGAGGTTTGAATTCATCATCATTGAGGGACCACGACAACCTCTGGCCTGAGTGACTCCCTGTAGATCACAGGAATCTTATTGATCTCACTCAGGTTTCCAGCAATAATCATTTTCTTTCTGTGCATTTTCAATATCACACACGTGCAATACTGTAACATTGAATATATTCTACACGGTATCTTTATTTATTACTTACTGAGTGTGTATTAGTAGTACCATAGCAGGACTTATAAAGGATGCTCATATCTTATCCTATAATAATGTAAACACCTAATTGAAAGAGAAAGTCTGTAAGATCTCTCTGTCGCCGACTTGTCAGTTATTAAATCAGTGTGTGCAAGAATATTTCCAGTTGATGGATTGATTCAGCCATAACAATGGAGCCTTGGCTGGGTTTTCCTATTAAACTCATTGCAAATATAATAAAGGTTCAACTAAGATAAACTAAGCTAGAGCATGATATTACACAGCACGATAAGATCAGGCTATTACCACGTCAAAAGCTAATAAATGGAAAACTAAACAGTGTGATAAGGAAATAAGCTCTTAAGTAACTTCATACTTATAAATCACTGCCAATTAGCAGTGACATAAATATAACTTAAGATTTACAATACTGTACAGAGATTTAAAATCTGTGCAACATGCAGAGGCATGTTAGGAGCTGGTTCTCTTCCTCTGGCAACTGTCACACAGAGATTCCTGAAGAGAAACAGTGTTGCTCAGTTTAAGTGTCCTAAAGGCATTTTAAAGATTAATAATTTAATGAGATTGTTGTTTTGGCCAGATTTCAGAGAGACAGAATGCCCTGTATCGTTCATAAAAGGACTTTTTGAAATGGTTCCTCTACGAATTTGTGGATCTGTTTAAAATCATTTGCAGAGTGATCACGTTGTTGCTCTCTCAGGAGGCTACGAACTGGGAGCCTTCTGGTGCAGAACACTCTAATAAAGCCATCCGTCAATGGCCGAGAGGGTTGATTCTCTGAATTTTGAATATAAGATTTGAAAAACTGTCTAATAATCAGTATTCTAACATTATGTCTGCAGGGAAATCCTCTTTTTGCTTCCTTTAAATTGTAGTAATACAGAGTCATGATCAAGTGCACATCAGCCGGCCAGAGGCTTTGCTGATGGGAGGGATTGGAACGTGGATCCTCTTGTTGTTTCCATTCTCATTAAAACCATTGTGCTGACTGATAGTGAAACATCCAGTAAATATCCCACCACCTGAATGTGCAGTGTTGTGTTCTAATAGTCGGCAGTGTAGTTTGTACCTCACTCTCCAGAGTGTGGATCTCTCTGGGCAGCTCCACAGCGTGCCTGCTGAAGTAGTCCATGGTGATGGCGTTGTTCCAGTAGCTGAGGTTGTTCTCCTGACTGGACGACTTCCTCTTCCTCCTCATGCAGCACACGGTCAACAGCACAGCTATGAGGGGGGCGGCAGGAAAAGTAAAATGGAGGTGTTAGCAGGGCAGTTGGAGAAGACGCTGCTTCAGATAAATAGATTTTGAAAGTGCCCTCGAGAGCGGCTCAGGTAGTGGCTGTCATTTTTCAGGAAAATATTACACTGGTGGAATACAAGGTGGTGGAAATAAAGAAGTTCAACCTTGACAAATATTCAAGAATCATCCAAAAATATCATTAAAGGGGAAGAAATACTTGTATTTGTACTTGTATCTATTTATGTATGTATGCATGTATCTATGTATTTATCCATCTACTTAAGAAAGTTTTCTAAAAGGAGTTATTTTGGAAAATAGATGATGAAGTCTATTAAAATCCATCCATCCATCCATCTCTATGCTAAGCTAAGCTAACCACCAGCTGGCTCTCTTACAAATGTGTTATCGATTTTCTCATATAACCCAAATAATCCAGTTCCTGGAAATGTCAAAGTGCTCATCGTTGTTTGTGTCAGTGACAGTAATGAATTTTTGTGAAGGTCAGCAACACACTAAAGAACAAAAGCACTTTTATACTCGTGAATTAAATCTCTTTTACAGCTGCACAGACTTTACTTACAACATGAGGACACGGGCACACTGATGGCCAGCACGATCCACACGATGTCCATCCTGCTCAGGCAGATGGTCATGCGGGACGGTGGGGAGTCCACGGTGGGGTCGGAGCTGTTGCCGGGTGTCCAGGGGTCCTGGGTGGTGGCGGGAACCTGCCTGTTGAGGAAGTTCCTGCTGGCGGTGGAGGCGTTCTCAGAGCTGTTCCCCTTAGCAGGCGACTCCTCGGCCGAGCTGCCGTTGGGGAGCAGCCCTCCGTACGTCGTTACATTCCCAGGCCACTGTCTCAGAGGAGGACTGTCTGTGCCGTTACCATGGGAAACCCGACCATGACCCACAGCGGTGGTCTCGATGGGTGCAGTGTGGTTGACTGTGGGATCCGGTGTTTTAAGGCCCAGCTCAGTGGACAGGGCTGGGGTGGACGCAGTAGAGGTTTGATTCTCTGGTGGGCTCTCCAGCAGGGAAGCAGACCTTGCCTGTGAGTCTACCACCAGCCCGTCGGTGGGGGGCTCGTTCGCTGCATGCACCTCCCTCAGGGTGATGGCGTGGTGTGCAGCCACCTCCGGGACACCCCGAGCATGCTCAGTGGGTTGTTCCAAGCTCGACTTGTGAGGCTCTCGAGCAAGTGTGTCTCCTCTGTCTGATCCAGAGTTGGACATGAGACCCAGGGGGTTCGGAGCACTTCTGGTTGTAGAGTCCATGTCTATATTTGGGAGCGCTGTGCTGCTGGCCTGGTTTGCGTTCACTCTAACTGGGTTGTGGACTTGAGAAACCCTGACCAACTTATTCATATGGCCTTGGCTTCCATCAGAGCTGGACTCCTGGGGCTGATTAACCCAGCTTCCAGTGCTCAACGTGTTTGGCAGGACAGTATTTGTGTCATGAACAGGAGGGTCTTCATGCAGGTTGGAGATTTGGGTGGTGTGCGGCCAGGTTGACGGGTGGAGAAGAGGAGGGAGAATGACACCTGTTGCTTGAGTACCTCCTTTGGACGACCATTCCCCGCTACTGGAGCCTTCCTGACGCCAGTCCAGGTGGGGAGGATCGGGGAGAGACGAGGTGGCGCTGTGGGCAGCTGCCATGGAGACAGAGTCCTGGGACGTCTGGCTGAGGTGCAGCTCCTGTGCTGATGAAACCAGTCCTACTGGCAGTGCTAGGAATGCTAGAACACCTGCAAAGAGAAAGATGATGGTCAGTCCATGATAACATAGAATTTCCATGAACCTTCTTCACAATATTTCAGAGAGAAATTCCTTATAAAAAACAGCAATGCCTTCTGAGGTGTCTGTTTATGAATTGTTCGTTGGGAAAGCGCTTGGTTGGTTTAATTTGAATAACAAATTATCTGTTATTTCACAAAAAGAAAAGCCCAAAACATCAATACCAATGTGCTTTTCTTCTTTTACACCCCATTAATGATTGATATCATCAAAACATCATGTTTTTGACAAATGACTCAGGTATTCAGTGTAATGTTGGTGCAGTGGATTGCATCAATATTTAAATCGCTTTACAGTGAAGCCACTAGATGAAGTCATGACGGTGTCAGAAGAGCCTACTTAACATGCTAAAACCATCTCAGACAGCCTGACAGAGTCACTTCTTCCCAGCTCAATCCCATAAGGCGGCTGTGTAGTGACAAGTCATTAGCAGGTGCCTGTGGGGAATATCGGTCCTATTATGTTAACCAGACAGCAAGAAAGTCACAGAGAGATGACCACGCTATTACTTATTAATTTCCCCTTTGCTTCCACCCCTCTGTCCCTTATTGACACTCTTACAAACAACTAATGTGACACATTAGTGGAGCTCACATCGAGCGTTCGGAAACGATATGCATCAATGCAGAGCCACTATCATTTAAATCCCGTCTGAAAGAAAGAGAATGCAACATTCATGACAACAAATCCAGCGAAGAGAGCAAAACAGTGTGTTGAATGTCATTCAGCACTTTCCCACCTCTCAGAGCTGCCTGTGGCACTCAGCCCGAGGACAATCATTCCAAGCGAAGATGTAATCGGTCACAACTATATCATTGTACACTCTCTAGGGACCATTTTCAGCCAAGGAGTGACACATATTTGTTTTCCAAGTGCAGGATTAAAAGAAATACTCGGATGCCACGTTTGTAATATTGAAGGAAAATCCAGATTAACAGAAGTGTTTAATGATGTATGTTTAATATTTTAATGATAGAGCTAGAATAATAGAAACTGGAACAATGCTTCACTCTGCAGATCCTAAGTCATTTATTAAGGTCTAGTCAGATAAAAAAAAAGTACAAAGCTATTGAGGATCATTTACAAATGTCACGATATTTACACACTGTCATAAGGTATATGCTAATAAGCAGTAGCGTTATAGATGCACGTTAACTCCACAGGCCTGGATACATATCTTGCTTTTGTCAAAGACCTCGGCAGACAAAGCAAAATTAAGAACATGCATCTGCATTAAAGAAAATTAACCATATTAATTATTAGACTGCATTATTTTGGCGTTAATAACCAACCTAAAAAACAAAAGTCTTACAAAGCACACTGTCTAAAGCAACACGAGACCTCGATGTTGTGACCATCACTATAGTGCTCCTTCTGTCACTATGGAAACCAACTTTCCATTTCCAAGGGGAGCAGAGGAGAAGAAAATGGGAGGAGAGGTGAGAAGAGAAATTTCTACAAAGCAAAAGGGCACGAAAAAGACAGAATAAAGGAAAAAGAGCAATTAAAAAAAAAAACGTCACAGTTAATATCATTAATCCCACGTTTCTTTGCCATAGAAAATGTCTCTGTCCCTTTCCTCCTTGTTCGCTGGAGGATTTAAATTACAGGACAGCAGAACCCCAAAGCATTGACTATTTAAACTTGGTGGCTAAATCATTAATCATATTCCTCCATACTCAGGCACACAGACTACACCACGAGAGAGGGTCCAGGTCCTGCCTTCCATTAACCACGCCTGTCACGTCTCTAATCCGCGGAGCACACTCCAGACCCATATCTGCGGAGATAACACACATGGCCATCCTTGATTTATGACTGCTCGTCTTTGCTGAGATGATCATTTGGGCAGGGAAATGGAACACAGGCAAACAGACCCTATCAAGGCTTAAGTGCATGGGCTGTTGTTGATGGTTGGTAATGTGATGAGCGGTCACATTAAGGCAAAAAGAAAAGAATTGCCTGAAGGTGTTCCTGAAACGTTGTGATCACAAGGCAAAAAATATGCTTTGTGAGGTCACAGCGACCTTGACCTTTGAGCACCAAAACCGAATCAGTTCATCCATGAGTCCAAGTGAACGTTTGTACCAAACTTTAGGAAATTCCCTGATGGCCTTCTTGAGATATCATGTTCACAAGGATGGGATGGATGGACAGACAACTTGAAGGTATAATCCGGCCACTGGCTGTCGTCAGCTGAATAAAAGACTCTATAAAACCATCACTATGACAAAAAGTCATAGGTGTGATGTTTATTTTTAAGATTTCAAATCTACCTCACATGACATATACATGATGTGACGCCTTACAGCTGCAAGCAATGTAGAATAATAATGTGTTTTTTAAAAGCTAAAGAAAGTAGATTTGAGATTTAATAACAGAGGGCAGTTAAGAGAGAGGACGTTTACCATGCTGAGGTCTGGCTGGACTCACATCTTCAATCAGTACCCAGAACTGTCACAACCTGGCAACCTGCTGCTACTGAATAAAACATAAAGCCCAGACTCCCTTTACAAACAAAGTCATAAAAGAAATGGGCAAAGTAAACGCTCACACACTCACACACGACCACATTCGTTTTGATTTGTCCATCAGAAAATTGGAATAAAGCATATATGTGATTCCATCAAGTTGTTTTATGTTATTTTACTTTTGAAGCTCCAGCACATGAAGCAGTTAGTTTCTTAATATTTCTCTTAAAGATGCTTTATTTTTAGATATGAACGAACTACATGGCTATAAATATCTATATATTAGCTGTAATGACATAGTAACCGTGTGTTTTCCAACCCCCTGCTGTGAAACAAACCTGTCTATTTTGTTTCATACAGTGTTTGTTGTATTGCTGAATGTATGTGTGTGTGTGTGTGCAGGGATTACATGTGTATCTGTGTGTTTTTACAGACGAATGGATATAATTTGTCACAGCGTCTGTGCGCCTGGCTGATGGAGTGAGAGCGTAAGCAGGACGAACGCAGACAGAGCGCCTGGCCCCTGCCTCCACAAAGACGTGCAGCTGAGAGGCAGGCGCACGGAGTGAATTAACAAGAGACATGATTGAAAAGGCCGAAGAAGGGAACTGGGCTTCATGAACATCCATTATTGAGTTGCAGCACTGAGAAGAACATGAGAAAATTGGATGGGAAAAGGTGAAGAATAGTGAGGTCGGACAGGGCGGGAAAATGTGCAAAAGCCAGAGCCAGAGGTGACGTGTGGATTAAGAGACGTGTGGGCGTTACGTCCATGATAAGACGTGGACAAAAGAAAAAACAATGGATTAAATACATTAGACCAAGGAGCAAAAGAGAAAAGACAAAGGAGAATAAGGTGCGAGAGATAAGGGAATGTCGAAGGCACAAAAACATGTATCTTGCTCAGCAACACTCAGCATGATTTCTTTGTGCCTATTGGCTGATTTTGTCCTGACATGCATGAAAACAAGCAGCAACTGGTGTGAGCAGATTTAAGTTGTAAGCATTGAATAGCAGCTCTTTCTCTTTGTCCTTCCACTGTTTGCTTTTATCTGCAGGAGAGGTGACATGCAGCGAACATTGTTATCACTCACACCAACCTGTTGCCCTCACTATCTATATCACCCAACCCATCACCTCAGAATAGCACATGCTAATATCACGGAGACAAACAACGGCGAGTTAATTTGACATTATGCTGCTATCGGCCGCCATTTATTTGACAAATGGCATCACAACTGTTTTCTATTCGCTTGTAGTGAGGGAGGGGGAGGGGGGGGGGATTTATGCAGGAAAGCTGCTGAATTAGGGCTCTTTTGAATGCATAGGGAGCTGCTGACATTCGTTGAAGTCCTCCATTGATGTCATCAGGGACATCAATAAATCATGTTGCAAAGCAGGATCCTGTGCACTGATCCAACGCAGGCTTTGTCCCGCCAATCGTTCACGATTAGACTCAATGTCAGGGGACGGTGAAGAGAGCGGGCGTCACTGAATCTAAAGTTACACCGAAAGAGATGGATCATAACATTTAGTCCTGCTGATGAAACTCTGCCTTTTCTTTCATGGACCAACTCATACGCAAAGACTCCATTCCAGATGAACAGTATCATTAAGACTCTTCCAGGCTGATCAATCATATTGGAGCACTTAGCGTAGCACGCAGGCGATCAGTGCTTATGCATCAGCCTGACTGCGTGATCAATCCTGAGAAGGGTTATACTCGCTTTCTGTGGAGGTTGGGATATTTACTTTTCTTTCCAGGGGTTGAAATTGATGTGGCTTGAACGTGCACGGCGACAATCTGCAGACAAAGCAGGAGCCAGAGCCAGGCTGGTTGTGCCGCATCATCAGTGGGCAGCTGGCAGTGGCACTGTGTGAATTGGAGACTCAACAGGAAGCCAAAAATAGAAGCTGCAAAATCATCCATCAATGAGGCTCGTGACGGTTCGTCAGGTTGTTCTTCTGGACTGTTACTGCTCCGGCAGCAGGACGGGGAATAATGAAAGAACTGTGTGTGCAGCACAGGGAACAAAATCCAACGAGAATCTGGCCAAGGTCACTTGAATAAATCAAACTGCAATACACTGATAAAACCTGTATTAAGATTAAATACGTGATAGGGGTTGCACACCGTCAAAATTTTAAAGAGTCAACTGTTAGGTGAAGGAAATTGAGTTGACTTTGACACATGGGAGGTGATTCAGCTCCAAACTCAGCTAACGCTCTCTTGTAAAAGACAAAATAACAGGACAGCAACACTTTCGCTTTACTGCTTCTGGAGTAATCTGAGGAAATCGTATCATCATCATCGCTGATCTCAGAAAGTAGCCAAGGCTTGTTGCACGAACTCAGAAGTTTAATCGATTCATCAGCAATGTAGGAAACTTGTCGTCTCATGTTTGTGAAGGTTGTTTTCATTTAAAGGTTACGGTTTTCACGATGTTTTGTCAGACGCACCTTCCACTTCCTTTGTCTTCTCAAGTGTTGAAAGTGAAATGAAAGTGGCCCCTAAACACGACCAGATCTGAAGTTAACCTCTATGCAGGAGAGCTGAAACACAAAAATACAATCCAGCTTGTTGCTGTGTTAAAACGGATCCATCTTAGTTTGTGCTTCTGTCAGTGTTAGAGTCTTAGTTTGAGAAGTTTTGGTGGATAAGTGTGTTTTTCTCTGTTTTTGACTTGACGTTCGCAGCCACTGTGACCCATGTAACAACTGAAGGTATTTAAATAACAGATATATGCTTAAACTACGTCCATCAATAATCAAGTAGAAATGCCCGTGAGCAAGACACCGACCCTCAGCCTGCCACTCTGGAGAAAACCATTAATACTTGACATGCCTTCACGCCTGAGAGTGTAAATGTAAAAGAAGTGAAGGGAGTTACTGAGCCCACTTCATTATCTAATAGGATAAACATGCATAACCACTGGTGTGGATGCCCCCGGGCATTGGACCATAACCAGTAATTACGGATGTCCTCCTCACCACCCAGCTTCCTCTCCATGGATCACATTCAGCCTCATTTATGGAAATAATAAGAACTCCACAGACCCGGACAAGCCTCCATGGAATTCCCCCCAAATCCCTTGGGGCAAATGAAGAGGGCTTTATCTACGGTGTTCATCAGAATACCAATGAGTCGATATCACATCATAGCAGCACACACGCAAACCACGGCTCTCATCTCTTAACACAAAATCCACTGCTCACTTTTGAAAATAAAGACTGTCGGACCCAAATCAAAGCAACCAGGAGTCTTACATGGAGGATATCTGTTGAAGGTGTTCCAAACCTTTTATTTTAAGCTTTGACGCGGCGTCAGAGCGAGACACAGAAACAGATCAGATGCATCAGCTTCAAGAGGACGGACGTCTTTATCAGCAGCGTGACTGGAGAGTTGTCTGACTAACTGCTGGTGTGATTGGATTATGACGCCTGGACGGAGCGCTGTCGGCACGGACTGACTTCAATGGACCCACTGCTCTTCTGCCAATAGATCCACTACTGTTCTATCAATACTGCATCCTCTATCATTACTACTACGACACTGTACAACCACTACTAGTACTACAACTATCAATACTGTATCGATATCAATATCAGCCGCTAATAATAAAACAAGTACTACAACTAATAATATACATTATACTGCTGCTACAGTTGTAACCCTCTTTTACTACTTCTTCTACTACAATTACAGCAATTACAACTACTACAAATAGCATTTAGTACTAAATCCCAACTAATCCCACTGCAATTACTACTGTACTAGCTTAACACCTGCTTCTACTACTACAATAATTTCTACCCCATTACTACAAGAAGAGCCAGAAGAGCCAGTTCACAGTGGGGTAATCTTATTTAGTTTGAATAAATATACACTAAAAATGCAGAAATTTAGCAGATGTTAGTTTATCTATGGTATTTCACTAAAACTTGGGGTTCCTGGCGGCACGAGCGGATTTAAAACAACAGAAACCTTTATCTTTTATCCTTTATCCACCGACGTTGTAATATCTTTAAGCCGTAAAGGTGAAAATACAAATACTACTATGTTATATACGTTAACTTTGTGTCAAGCAATAAAAAGTGGGTGAGTCACATTCTGCAGGGGTTGATCATACATTTCACCCTAAAAGGAAACTTCCTGTTTGGTGCACTCATCTTTCAAGAATGCAGCTCTTCATTTAAGATTAAATGAAATATGGGAGTATAAATAGCGTCGTCTTTACAGTAGAACAAACACACACATTCCTTTGGTTTGTTCTTGGGTGTGTTCCGCTGCCACTCTGGGTAGAGCGTCTGTCCCGTGGGGGGTGAACGGACAGATAGGGCACATCCTGTGGACCACTGAGACCGTCCTGGAGGAGGACTGGATGGGTGGAGTGGTGCAGGGGTGGAGCCGGGTGGGCTCTACAGATGTGAGCCCCGTGATAAGAGGGAGAGCTTTCGTAACAGGATAATGGCTTCCTGTTTGAATGCTCCGCAAATTGTCTGTCAGGTTGCAGCGGCTTTGAACACAGACGTGTTTATCTGAGGATCAGGCGAAGGGAGGACGCGAAAACAAGCACAACAAAGAGCCCTTGTGCTATTTACTGGGATAATGATTTAGCTAACATAGAGAATTCCAACATTCCTGCTGTCGTTTGCGGCTTTAAAACAAAACACGACTGTTGGCAACAACACACGTTAATCACCCTAGACAAAGCTCAGGCCTCGTGAACTTACTTACAATTCACACCAACTGCTCTGCCAAGTTATTGTTCTTATTTTTTCCGGAGTCGACTTCCAAATGCAATTTGCACCTTTCGATAGACATTTGGAATCGACTGGCTTATTTATCGGAATTTGCTTTGAAGCTGCCAGACCAATTCTAATTTCCTAGAAATAAGTGATAACTTCTCTCCATGAATTCAGGTGTGTAATGCAGAGGGGTTGTCTGGAGCTTCGAAGACAGAGCAGCCAAAAACAGCACAGAGGGTGACCAGAGCAAAACGAATCCCGTCATGACGGAGGATCATCCGTCTTATTTCTCCTCTATCTGCAGCATCTTCTCTCTTGCCTGCGGCTGTAGGATGTTAAAGCACATCTGTCCCGTGCAGATGGCCGGCCCCGAGGGAGAAATGAGAAATGTCTCCGTGCCGCACAGAGACAGAGATTTCAGGTAGGCCTCTTAGCTCTGCACATTGTAAAAAGGCGAACCTGACGGGAACGGGAAGGCAGACTTCAGCAGAATGCATGAAATTAGAAGTGAAGTGAGCGTTGTGCTTTGGAAGGTTGGATTTATCTGGACAAGAGAGGCTTGAATATATGGTGTTAATATAAACTTTGTACATGGCTCCACAGCTTCGACTCAGACCTTTAGATTAAAGTCACCTTGCTCCACCTCTGCCGCAGCTTAACGCGCTTCGCTCACACTTCTCAGGGATTGAGTCAGATTTGTCAGAGGCTGCACTGGCCCGAGGTGGAGCTTGAGGGAAAAATACCAGATATCATCGGCCTCTTTAGCGAACCGTCCTGGTGGGTCTGCTGGGTCCCAGACTGACCCCTGAACGTTCCATATTCATGTGACATTCAGCGCTGGTCGTCTGCCAGAGCTTTGTAGATCCAGTCCCAGAGCCTTGATCCTGTCCTATGAATCTAAAGCAGCACAGGCTCAAAGAACGACAAGAACTAAAGTGATGCAGCCCTGAAAGTACAGTATGTGATGTCGACAGACCGGGGCTGCCTGAAGACGTTTCACAGGGTCTCTAGCAACAAACGAATAATGTTCCGTTCATGTGCAGAAGGGAAGGTAAAACTTGTTTAAAGCAGCGTGCCTGAAACAAATCAAAGAAATGTATTTACCGCCCCTCGATCTATAAACGGACTGAAAACTTCTTGTTTTTAAAAATGACTCATCTGAGATTTCATTAAGTTGTCTGACAAACAGATTAATGACAGTGCCTGCGCTCTCCATGTCTTATCCGTGGGAGTTAATGTACTTACCAGTTCCCAACAGTACCATCACAGTGGTTTTGATATATACAGCACTACTATGTGCTCCAATATGTCTAACATGGTATTTGATAAAACAGAAATGGCTGAAAAGCAAACACAATTTCTCACATGGGCCAAAGTCTGTTGCTCGAGTCAAATAAACCCAAACATAATTGATATAATTCTGTACAGCTCATGTATATATACAATACAACAAACTTAAGTTATACGATGATGCGATCATGTGACGTGAACATCACATCGAGCAACAACCCCCTCAACCATTAATAATCTGTGAGTCCTCTAATAATCTGCGTTTTATGGACTCGCACAGTTTTTTATAACTGTTTTACATCTGATATAGTTTTTTCTAATCACAGCTGACTATAAATATATTAAGAGTACACTGAGTTTCTATATAATTCATAGCCGCTGTCCTGTTTCGCCCTCTGGCATGTGAGCCCCTGGTTGATGCCCCCCCCCCCACCAACCCTTGGTCCACTCACTCAGCAGCTGGCAGCGCAGAACCTGCAGGCTCGTCTTCATGGTATCATGTGATCCGGCTCCTCCTCCACAGTGCTCATGGCTCTCTGGTAAAGAGAGAGAGAGAAAGTGAGAGAGAGAGGTTAGATGGAACTCACGTATGAAAATCACATTCAAGTCACGGTACAGTATCAGCGTGATGCACTGTGATTATGTCAAGGCTGGTTTAAGTGGAGTAGACACAGAGAAGGAAGAAAGGTTTTCCTGGACAAGATTGTGAAGCTCAACTTTGACAGTTTAATCCATGTAATGACTGTCAGGCAGCAGTTACCTCTCACAGCGGATTAACTGGATCATACACAACCAGCGTTTTACAATAAAACCCTGTAGGACTGCAGCTGTGGAGGTCGGCCTCAGCTGCTGGCATCCTACAGGCTGTGATGGTCGGTAAAACCAATTACTGAACATTAAACATTGACCAGTGAGCCTTGTTCTGAGATCACCACTGCTTGCGTGTCAGTGACACAAGCACCCAAGGGTGCTCTTTAGGAGAATGACTCACTGAAGGCCCTCTGCTAAATGAAAGGCCACACACATGCATACAATCTCCCGCTGGGGGAGTGTGTGCATCTGACTGTGTGCATGTTTGCTTCTCTCGGGGCACACACCACTCAATCCTTGCAAAAGTGTATTCAAACACACACACACACACACACACATACACACACACACAAACACAAACACAAACACACACACACACACACACACAAACACACACACACCTAAACACCCTTTACCCTATACCTGCAGGAATAATCTGTTGCGAGTGGGACGTGTGAAATTGGATTTGTGCCTCCCAGGACGAGGGGTCTGGTTGCAGGCAACCTCTGGTTCTGTGGGAGATGTGTGAGATGAGAGGGACGACAACAAAAGGGACAGATACTAATCCGTTCACAAGTCTTATAAACTGAGAGGAGGCGACACATCACATCTGACTCATCCTGTTTATATCACTTTTATAGTTGTTAACTATACACAGAATATTTCAGCATCTATCCATCTATCCATCTATCTATCTATCTATCTATCTATCTATCTATCTATCCATCTCACTGAATAATGGCATGAAACTGTAATTGACTTTTGGGGTGTTAGCCTCCCACCAAGGGGAAATAGAAAGCATTCAATATGGGGCACAGCAGGGCATCAAATGATAAATTGGAAAACCACTTCTCTCTCACTCCTCCTGGCTCCACTTTTCTATTGCACAGAAAAATAAAGGAGAAAAAACAGTAAAATATGAAACTAACCCGTCACATTTTTACATGACAGTTGCACAAAATTCTGTTCTTGTAAAGTAAAAAAAAATTGATGCTCACTATGTCGACACTCTTAAGTCACAGCTGTGACTATACAAAGGGCTCAGTCACATATTACTGTGCTGGTAACTGCAAAAAAGATGAGGCTGCAAGAATACAGAAGTAGCAGGAGCAGAAAATGACTTTTTCCATCTCCGCATCAGAAGAAATGACACCTGCAAAACTGTTCCTGCCTCCACTCACCAACATAATGATGCTGCAGAGAAACCACTGTGTCTCTGCTTTAATTTATTTTGCATCATGTTCCTGGTCTAATGAGCTCAATGGCAGGGTGTGAAGAGAGCAGCTGAGCCTCTCCACGGTGATTACACCTCATCAGCTGCTGCCACGCCGGCGTGGTCTCGTAGACACGCTCTAATTTGCAGGGCATAAGGGGTGAGGCAGGGGGAAGGTGGGTAAGGGGGAGTGAAGAAGAAGACATAGTGACAGGGAGCATTTCATTTGTGCTTGTTATCACAGAGCAGAGCGAGATTTCTGTAAAGGACAAGCTGCATGTGGACAAAAGAGAGTTCTCCTGCTGGGGAGCTGAATCAGAGTTCAGCTCTATGCACAGTCGCACACATGCAGGTACAAGATAACACAGAACGACAAGTCAGGGTCGCGGCTCTGCCAAAACACCCCCGACAGGATGAGAGGTTCCGTGGCAACTGCTGACAGTTTAGTTTCGAAGAGGTGAAACACTCGATTTTTGATGTGGGGAGTTCAGGTCCATCACCTCAGATGGGATTATGTCTTTGTTACTACAGACTCCAGCTTGGTGAATGGATGCAGGGTGCAGACAGGGCAGTGTGTGAAAATAATTCAGTGAGAACAGACTTCAAACTCATGGATCTATAACTAAAAGTAGACTTCTAGTGATATATCTCATTGTCTCACCAGTACCTGAAGCAACAATATGTTCCACCAATGCAACACCTGATGGTCTCAGTCAGCAGAAGAAGGCAACTCCATATTTATCCAACACAGCAGATTAATGCCCCCTCTCCAAGTCAAGTAAAATTTGATCTAATTATTTTTTCTGTTGTTCATCTTTGTTGTGTGTGTCTGTGCATGTGTGTATGTGCTTGTATCCAAATATCGTGTGCAGGTATGAGGACGTGGTTGGTGCTCGCTCGATGGTGATTGGCTGCCCGGCGGACATATGAGAAACCAAGATGGCAGTGTCTGTGGCACATGAGAGCAGATTTTTGTCCACCTGAAGTCCGAGCGGTTATTATTTCCAAGCTTATTCATATTCAATATGTTTCATTTTAAAATACATTTCCCAGATTTTGCATTTGCAAGGTGCTTAACAACCTGTACAGCAGATATACAGATAAACCATCCCCCACCCGTACAAACTGTTTCTGTCTGGCTGCAGATACATTTTGCCTACATGCAAAACATAGATACAGACACAGGATCATGTGGATCCAAATTTGTCCCATTGGCCTTTTAAAAATGTGTTGTGATTTGAATTAACTGGGACAGATTTTTGTAATTCTATGTCTATATTTCATGTTATTGTCCATCTCTTGTGTCAGCAGTGGTTTGTGTGGATACCGCTGTATGAACAAATTGCCCCACGGAGATAATAAAGCTTTCTTTGATCCCCTCCCAGTAAAATATCAGTTAAGAACTGATAACACGATTTCTTACTTAGAGAAGATAACCCTCCTCTGCCTCTCATGAGGGAGAGTGAACATGCACCAGAGATCAACACTGACTTCAGCAATAACTGATAATAATAGATTCCCAGGTAAAAATACATTCACAGCCCAGCTTCCTGCAGAAGAGGGAAAAAAAAAAAGTTGCATGGCAACTGACATGCACAGAGACGGCAGCCATCACCATAGCAACCCTAATAGTAGTGAAATTCAAATTCATTCACAAGGACGTTTTGGGGCTTAAATAGAATTGGGTAAAGAAAAAAAAGGGAGATTTGGGATCACTGGATTTCTCACTCACCACAGGCAGAGTCAGAAATCCAGTGACAGGTCTGAAGGTCCCAGTCTGCAGCTCTGAATTATGGGAGGAGACACAGACTACAGGCCACAGCCAAGGTCACCAGAGACGGCACAGTGTATTACGCCTGTCACTCCATCTCCCTCCGCGGCCCACAGCCGCAGGGATAACAATGCTTTTTTAATTTTGGACTTCCCTCTATTCTGTGGTTATCTATAGGTGGCGTGGCGGCAGGCTGGCTTTTTGCCCGCAGTGGCCACAGCCGAGAGAGGGAGAGAAGAGGAGGAGGGAAGGGAAGTGTGGGAGTCGGCGATGACGGCGTGAACCATAGTGGTGTGTTCTCACGGTCAACTGATAACTGGACCTCCAATCAGAACCGCTCTAACCCAGGCTTTTCTTCTCTCGCTCTCTGGATTATCTCTCTTTAAGAAGAGAGTGACTTCTGTCAGCTTGAGTCTGCATGAGGGGGATGTTCCAGAGAAAAGAGAGGTGAAGTGTGAAATCTGCGGCTTTCAAGGAAATGGACAGATAAATACAGAAATGTATAAAGACCAAGAAAACTGCTGCCGTGCTATCTTTTCTATTTTTTTGAAAGTCATTCATTAAAAATGTTCTTTTTCATCCTCCAGCATTTACAGCAGACTTGTGATCACAGCAGATCTATGGCGGAGCTGTGCCATTAAAAAAGCTGGTTTCATCCGTGATTTCATCAAAGCCGGGACTCGATGTGATCTCAGAGAGTTTGGTTCCATTTCAAGTTGTGCATGACCAACTTTTTCTCAGCCCTTCCACAGAGGGCGTCCATTCCTGCTTTAATGTAGATGAAATCAGCCCAGGCCCGGATAGCGCTGCGGCTGCTGCCTCGCTCTGAACATGTGTTTCCTGCGCTTGTGTCGATGAGATTGTGCTGAGGCTTTACCTCTGGGTGTCGATGCCATCTAGGTGACCTTGCAAAACAACCAGCTGCTTGGCACCAATCACAGAAGACTGTTGTGCAGTGGAAAAGCAGATCACTGATTAAGACTGTAAACAATTATGTTATGAAACCATTTATCATCAGTGGGATGGTTAAAAGTGACTCAATCACACTCTGGAGCCTTGAGAACTTCATTGTTCTGCCAGGATAAACACAACCAGTGTGTTGATGACCAGTATTGATTCAGAGCAAATACAGGCTGGAATTAAACGTAAGCAGCAAGAGCTACAAAGTACGGAAAACCTGGCAGGTTCAACTGCTGATGCTGAGTCATGATGGTTGGAGGAGGAGGTGCGGGTTATCAGAAAGTGCCATCGCTGCCCTCCAGCCCCGGCCTGCAGCCCAGCAACACACCAGTCATTAAAAGAACATTAGGCTCCCAGCATGCAGTTCACTTTGACCATAACAGCGGAAGTCAGACATCAACCTCCCTGTCCAGGTCGCTCACAAACAATATCTCACACATAGAAGCAGGAACACTGTTAAACCGTGCACGTGTGTAACAGTGCTCATCATGTTTTTAGAGAAGTTTAGCATTAAAGACGATTCACTCATCGATGGTCATTAATGTAGAAGGCACAGCACATCACAGGAGCTGGAACCTACTTTCCTGAATCAGTGTTAGTCACGGTTTATTTGATATTTAGCATGTGTGCTTCCAAACACAACATTTCACCTCCATACTCACAGCACATGAACAATGTAGAGAGACGCTGCAGCTCTCACAGGATGAATGAATCTCTGACTCGTTCAGTGGAGAACTCCCACTCAGGACGAGCAGAGCACCTGTGCTCAGGGCCGACTGAGG